GTTTCAATATTTGATTTTAATGGTATCTTTTTCAATCTTTTTCATGTGAAGAACATGCCAATCATTGCCAATCACCTTGATTCTTTCCTTATTGAATAGTGCACGAAATCTTGAGTGAATTCTATGCACAAAAAGATTTGAAAAGCATGGATTAGTATTTTTCTTATAATTAATTTTAATTAAATGAATTAAATAGATTAAATATTCAATTAATTAATTAAAAATAGGAAAATAACTCCCCTTTGGGTCAATGGGTCGTGCATAGATTTTGGGTGATGATTCTTGGAAGAAAATGTGGCCCATTAGCAATTTTGAGGCATTTGAAGCAAAGTTGACTTTTCAAAATTCCCAAAAATTTCCCAACTTCCACAAGGCATATCTTGCTCAATTTTTAAGCTTTGATCATGTTCTTGGACATTTTGGAAAGGTCTTGAAGTCCTCTAACCAATGCCTTTGGTCCCATGTCATTTTGATTTACCAATCTCAAGTTATGGTCTTTGACTTAAAGTCCCTTTTTGTTGACTTTTGAAAATGACCTATAATGTTGAGATTGATAACTTTTTGTGAGAGCATTTCTTGGACTTGAAGTGTGAAGATGAGTTGTAGGAAATGTCATTCTCTTCAAAATAAGCTTTGGATGGAATTTTTATGATAAACCATGTGGAAGTTATGCCCTGGTCAATTTGCAGTTGACTTTTTCAATTGTCCAAAAATAGAAACTTTTGCATCTTGAGACTTTTTGAGCCATGCCTTGAGAATCATGATCAAGAATTGATCAAATGATGTTTGTGGCTTCAAAATAAGATGTTGACCAAAAATTTTGACTTTTGACTGTCAAATGACCATTTTGCCCCTGCAGTTGACTGTTGAGCAATTAGGGTTTTTGATTGTGCAATTTTGTGCTGTAAGTCTTGCAACTTGATATGAGGATGCTTGACAATGTTTGTAGGCATGTGGGACTTGAATGGACCCTTGGAAACTTCAATTTCTTTGCCAGAACCAAAACCCTAATTTTTTACTGTTAGGAGGCCATTGGACTGTGCAACCCTTTGGGAGATTTTGAAGCATGATCTTAGCAAACCTTGAAGAATATGGGAGGGCAAATTTTGGGGTACAACACTTGAGTTTTAAGAGAAAGTTGTGGAGTGATCTTGTTTAGTTAATAACCAAGTTTAATGATGGTGAATGGATCATGAGTGGTGATTTTAATTATGTGAAAACGATAGGGAGATGAAAGGCAGGTGTTCGGCCATATCTTCTGAAATGAGGTATTTTTCCTCATTTATCTTAGACTACAAATTGATTGACGTTCCTTGTAGAGGGAACCATTTTAGTTGGCATAGTGGAGATGGTAGATCTATGGGGAGGTTAGATCGTTTTTTGATGGATGATTCTTTAATCGGTAGTTGGGGAATTATTTGTCATTTGATTGGGGAAAGAGACATTTATGATTATTGTCCTATACGACTCATTATTAGCAACGTCGATTGGGGTCCTAAACCGTTTATGGCCAATAATTGTTGGCTCAAAAATAAGGAGTTTGTTCCATTTATGGAAAGAGAACGGAGGAATTTGAAGGTAGAAGGTCGAGGTGACTTTGTCTTACAAGAGAAGCTTAGATTACTTAAACCTATTTTTAGGAAGTGGAATTTGAAGGTGTTTGGAAAATTGATTTGGAGATTGAGGAAGGGAAGAAGATTTTGAATGAAACAAATTTGTTGTGGGCTTCTTTTCGGATGGGTCAGGTGAAGGGGGTGGCAGCTAGAAGGAGTGAGCCTATAACTAATATGTAGAATCGAATGATGATTAAATATAATATGATTCTTCAAAAGTTGAGGTTGAAATGGGATTGTTAGGGGGACTATAATAATAAGTATTTTCATAGTATGTTGAAGGCTAGAAGGATGGGTAATCTCATTAGTCATATTGATTCGGGATGAGGGGTGGTGGAGTCAGTGGGGGAGGTTAGAAAAATCATTTGGGAGCATTTTTCAAAGAAGTTCGAGGAACCTGGATCTAGTCGGCCTCTGTTGGACGAAATTCCATTTCGTTGCATTTCTATGGCTGATCGGACTTTCCTGGAGTCTGTTTGGGCATGTAGGGCTTCTAAGAGTCCCGAACCTGATGGATATATTTTCTTTTTTATTCGTAGGTGTTGGGATTTTCTCAAGTTTGATTTTTTCAGGTTCTTTCGCGAGTTTCATGGTAGAGGAATGCTGCCCAAGGCCAGATCTTCAGCTTTCATTTCCTTGATTCATAAAAATTCCAATCCTCGGGTTCTTGATGAATACATGACTACTTGATGAATAAAATCCCTCTCTAAACTTCTCGCGTCGAGATTAAATATGGTTTTGGATGGTGTTATATATAGTAATCAAAGTGTGTTTGTGCCAAGGAGGTTCATGTTAGATGGAGTAGTGGTTGCCAATGAAATGGTGGATTATGCTAAAAAATTTAAGAAGGGTTGTCTGCTTTTTAAAGTGGATTTCGAGAAGGCGTATGACAAGGTGTGTTGGAATTTCCTTAGGTATACGTTGATAAGGATGCAATTTGAATAGGTTTGGGTTAAGTGGATGGAAGCTACCATTTTTTCTAGTTGGATGTCGGTGTTTGTCAATGGGAGCCCGACCAAGGAGTTCAAGGTTAGTAGGGACCTTAGGCAAGGCGATCCCTTTTCACCGTTTTTGTTTGTAATTGTGTTGGAATGGCTTACTAAATTTGTTAAGAAGGTGGTTCTTATGGGGAATTTTTATAGCTTTTATGTTGAAGGAAAATGTTGTGTTGATGTGTTACAGTTTGCAGATGACACATTATAGGTGGGTAATGGAGAGTGGAAGCACGTTTGGGCTCTCAAAGCGGTGTTAAGGGGTTTCGAAGTGGTGTCCGGCCTTGGTGTAAATTTTTACAAGAGTAGTTTAATCAGTATTAATCTGAGTCCATATTTTCTTTTGGCGACATCTAACTTTCTTTCTTACGGGTTGGAGGACAAATGTTTCAAATTCTTGGGTATTCGAATAGGATCTAGTCCTAGACAGATGTCGTGGTGGCTTCCTTTGATAGCCAAAATCAAAAAGTATTTGGCTATTTGGAAAGGAAGATTTCTTAGTCTAGGTGGGCGGATTACTCTTATTAAATAGGTTTTATCTAGTTTGGCTATTTTTCATCTTTCGTTCTTTAGGGCCCCTTCGAAGGTGTGTTACACGATAAAGTAGGTTCATAACAGGTTCATGTGGGGTGGTTTCTCTGAGGAGAGGAAGATGCATTAGATTCGGTGTCAATCTCTTTGTTCTTCTGTTGACAAACCAAAATCTGAATGGTGGGCGAATTTGCTTAATCTTGAATCAAAACTTTCTTCTCCTACTTTATCTCAATTGTGCGGTTTTGATGTGGGCAGTGGGGATGACACTCCTTTTTGGATTGTTGTTTAGAATGTTAATGTTAGTTTGATGGTTGATTTTTCTTAGTTGTACAAGATTTGCAAGGATAAGGATGTGGTTGTGGCCTTGATGGGATCTTGGGTGGTGGACGGCTGGGAGTGGGGATCTTTGGGTTTTCCTTTGGCGATTTTAGCGGCTGATGCGCTGTCGGTTCAACAGCTCCGGCTGCGTTTGGAGGTTGTTTGTCTCGTTCTTTCGGAGGTAGATGTTGTTATGTGACAGCCAGATTCGAGGGCTGGTTACTCGACGAAAAATGGATATGAGCTCTTATTCAATTTACGCTATGTTGTTGGTCTTGATAACGATCCCTTATCGGTTATTAGTGTTGTGTTGAAATCTCATGTCCCTTATAGAATCAAAGCTTTCGGGTGGCGTTATTTGTGGAATAGGCTCCCTTCGAAGGACCATCTTCTTTGCAGAGGTATTATTCACTCTTCTACCGATTATCTTTGACCTTTTTGCTCTATCGAGGTGGAATCTATAGCTCACATTTTTTTTGGAGTGCTCTTTTATTAAATTGATCTGGAGGAATATTTTTTATGTGGTGTGGTTTTTCTTTTGAGCCTCATGGACTGAATTGACGCTCCTTAAAGAATTGATTTGTTGAAGGTAGGATATTAGGGGTCATGCAATGCAAGGTGTGTTCTATTTGATTGGCGGTGTTGTGGAGCACATGGTGTCTTAGAAATAATGTATTTTTTTATGGTTGTCATTATTCCGTTTCAGATTTAGGGTGAGACATTAAGCTGTATGTTTGGAAATGGTTTTGAATTGGAAATATTTCTACTACTAAATGTAACTTTTACGAGTTCTACAAAAAAACCTTTATTATTTTTACGATAAGTTTCACTTGGTAAGTTGTTCTAGACGTTATTTCTCATTATTTTTAAGTAGATTAGAGTATCCCTAATACCCTCTTAATATATCCCTTGCTTATAAAAAAAACGCCTATATTTTTTACAAAATTGTAATTTAACTCTCAAATTTTTCAAATAGCTGCAATTTGATTTCTATTTTTTTCTTAAATTATTAATTAATTTGTGTTATAAATTTTAAATTTAATCTAAAAGTTTAAAATTTTATATAATTGACCCAAAAAGTTAACAATAATTTTTATTACTATTCTATTCAAATTAAAAATGAAAAAAAAAAATCAATTAAAATAGTTAAATTATCTAAAATTCTAAATTCTTGAAGAAAAAAAACTAATTTTCTAATTCAAACACAAAATTAAAGAATTGACTAACGATTTAACCTTTTAAACTCACATTTCATATCCTTCCAAGTTCCAACTAAATAACATTAACAATGTTTAAATTTTTTATCAAAAGAAGAAAGAAAAACACACTTTGAATGGATATGACAAATGTGAGAGTGTGTCATTGAAACATGTTTCCTCATATCTCACTAACCAACTTGTTGTCTACAAACTACATTGCCACCAAAACCTACCAAGTTGTACATGCACGAAACGTGTCACTCTATGTTCTCTTCACACTCTCTTCATAAACCACCTTCATCACCGCTTCAAATCACAAATGCCATCATCACACAGTTATTATCATGGCAAAAACCATAACCACCCTTTTGCTCTTCCTCTTTGTCGGAGGAGTAACCATGGTAATGTCTGAACATGAAGAAAGATCAGAAGGATCATCATCAAGTAGATTGTTCTTGTTGCAAAACTCCAAGAGCGTTGTCAAAACTGATGCAGGAGAAATGAGAGTGATGCAAAACAATGATGATAAGTTTTTGGATAGGAGCATGCAAATTGGTTTGATTAATATGGAACCAAAGTCCTTGTTCATTCCTCAGTATCTTGACTCCAATTTGATCATATTTGTCGGTAGAGGTATCATTAGATGGACTGCAATCATTAGATACTCTCCTTTATCACTATAATCTTGATTGTTTATCGATATCAGAGAAATTGAGAGTGAAGTTTTGAACTTTTCTGCAGGGATAGCAAAGTTGGGATTCATATATGGAGATGAACTAGAAGAAAGGAGGTTGAAGACAGGGGACATATATGTAATTCCAGCAGGTTCTGTATTCTATTTAGTGAATATAGATGAAGGTCAGAGACTTCATGTCATTTGCAGCATTGACTCCTCTACAAGATTTGGTGATAGTGATACTTTTCAGGTATATATATATATATGCATCTCTATATAGTTTCACATCTTGAACTTACATTATTCAATTTCTTCTAACATTTTTCTATTTTATGCAGTCCTTTTATATTGGTGGAGGAGGAGATAATCCACAGTCTGTTCTTGCTGGATTTGGACCGGCTATTCTTGAAACTGCTTTTAATGTAAGCTATTGTTTCAAATGAAATTAAAATATCGAGTGATCTAAATTGTGATTACGTGTCTGGTGTTGTATCTGATGTCTGTGTTGTGTCTGGTGTTGTATCTGATGTCTGGTAGTGTTAAGTCTGTTGTGTCTGATGTTCGTGTGGTGTCTGATACGTGTTTGATACTGGTGTCTGATACGTGTTAAGTTTGATGTCTTTGTTGTGTCTGATTACATGTTATGAACTTTCTTAATAAATTTATTTTCTTAATTGATCACTTATAGGAATCAAGAGCAACACTACAGAGAATCTTCAAGAAGAAACAAGATGGGCCAATTGTGTTTATTGATGATTCTCAGTCTCCTAACCTCTGGACTAAATTCCTTGAACTGAAGAAGCCAGAAAAAGTCCAACACCTCAAGACATTGGTACAAAGCCAAGAAGAAGATGAAGAGGAGAAGCAAAAAAGTTGGTCATGGAGGAAACTCATGAAAACTGTATTAGGAAAAGAGAACAAGAACATAGAGAACAAAGACAGAGCTGATTCACCTGACTCTTACAACCTCTATGACAGAAAACCTGATTTCAGAAACACTTATGGCTGGAGCAGTGCATTGGATGGAGATGATTATTCTCCACTCAAAGTACCTGACATTGGTGTTTTTCATGTCAATCTAAACGCGGTATGCAAACAAACAAGCCCTTATATGTATTATGTTACTTTTTAAAATCAAAACCATGTTCTTATTGTTTTGTTTTTGTGTCATAGGGGTCTATGATGGCACCTCATGTGAATCCAAAGGCAGCAGAGTTTACAATAGTATTGAAAGGATATGGAAAGATTCAGATACTATTTCCAAACGGAAGCAATGCAATGGAAACAGAAATCAAAGTAGGAGACATATTCTATATACCAAGATACTTTCCATTCTGTCAAATAGCATCAAGAAATGGACCCTTGGAGTTTTTTGGATTCACAACCTCATCAAAGAAGAACAATCCACAGTTTCTAGCAGGTGGTGCATCAATTCTGAAGATTATTTTAGGTCCTGAACTTGCAGCTTCATTTGGTGTGAGTGAGGAGACTATGAGGGATTTTGTTGGTGCTCAACATGATGGTGTGATATTTTCTTCAACATGGGCTGCTCCTGGTGGTGGAGGGAAAAAGGAGGAGGATCATGTTTTGGAAAATTTTGAAACAAAGGGTGTTAAAGGGTTTGTTAATGATGTTGTTATGGATGTTTTTTAATAGGTTGTTTAATGTGGTGGAATAGTTAATAGAGTTGTTTGTACTTTGTTTTTTTATTAATAAGTTTTAGTTTGGTTCATGTGTTTTATGTTTATTTAGTTGTGAGTTGTTGTGATTGGATTTATGTAAATGTTGTATATTTTGCATCTTTTATATTTATATGTAAAAAAGATTATACATAATAGGAATAATATAATTTATATTTATGACAATTGAATGTCAATTAATATTAGTCAATTGATTCTCAACATTTTTTCTCAAGCGGTAGAGAGATTTGATAAAACATATAAGTGGTTATTTCTCCCGATAGTTTTGTGGTTTAAAGGTCTACCAACTTAAATTTCGGGAGCATTTTATCCCGTCTGCATCTGAATTCATAGGAGTATCAATCGGATGACAATCAAGCATACCAGTTTCTGTTAGGATGTCTAATGCACATTTACATTAATTAATTGCAATGTCTGATGATGACTGAGCAATATCAATACCTAAGAAGTATCTGAGTAGATCCAAACCTTTTGTTTGAAAGTTTTTAAAAAGACGAGTTTTGAGTCGTTGGACACAGTCTTTATCATCTCCAGATATAACAATGTCATAAACATATACCACAAGAAAGATGCGTTGACCGGTGGAGGAGTGAAGAAAGAAAATAGAGTGATCAACTTAACATCTAGTCATACCAAACTGTATCAAGGCAGAGCTGAAGCGACCAAATCAAGCAGGCAGAGACTGTTTCAGCCCATAAATAGATCGACTAAGCCGATAAATATAACACTCCAAAATAATTAAAATATTATTTAAATGATTATATGATGAATATTCACGAATATATGATGTTTTGTTGAATTATGACGCGTGATGTGATTATGTGTGAATTATTGATGATTTGATGTGTGATGTATGTGTGGTGTGTGGTGGGATAGTGTGGATTAAGGTGGAAATTATAATAATATAATAATTTAGATAATTAGTATAATTGTTTAGAATCACTAATTAAAATTATTATTATTTAAAGTTAAATAAAATAGAATAATTGGAGTAGAGATGTTAAGGGCTTATTAGTCATGTTATGTGGAGTAAGTGGGGGCAAAAGTGGAATAACATATTAGGGTCTAAGTGGTAAGTTGGACTAAAAGAATAAAGAGAGAGTCAGTGCTTCATTATGCACAATCGTGAAAATAGGAAAGAGAATAGTGAAGAGCTAAGCCACGAAGGGAAGAGAAGACAATCAACCGTAGAGCTTGGAACAAGAATCAAAGCTAGAATCTAAGGTAAGTGGGGGTTGTTCTTATTATTATGATTGATATATGATTTAGATATATGTAGGTTTGTTTGGGGTTTTGCGATGAATAGATGTTGTAATGATTGTGATGCATTAGATGATGAAAATGATGTTAGATTGATATTGTAATGTTATAATATGATGTATATGATACCCATCATGATGTGTTGTTGTATCGGTGAAAACATGTGAATTTTATGAGTTTTGGGTAATGCTTTGATGTGAAATTGAAATTCTGGCAGCAGATACTCAATGTCACAGTGAATGTTATGACACCGTATCTGACTTTCTATAAGACAGTAAATAAAAACAGTAAAGAACACAGTCAATTGTTTACCCAGTTCAGTGTGAAACAACACCTACTTTGGGGGCTACCAAGCCAGGGAGGAAATCCACTATAAGAGATATTAATTCAGGAATAAACCAACCAGTTTATCTCCTTCACTTAAGACCTACCAATGCAACTTCAATCTAAGTTCAACTTAAACCTGAGTTCCTACTCACTCCCCCTCAATCACAGCAGTGATACTTAAAACAATTGACTAATGAATTAATGAAGACACTCTTCAGAACATACACTTGATTATGCTTCACAGCTTTTTAATCAAGTAACACAAACACTCTTGCTTCACAGCTTTGAGTGATACATAAACCTAACTTGACTTTGCTTCAAAGCTTTAGTCAAGAGACACAAAACACTCTTGCTTCAAAGCTTTGAGTGATACAAAAACCCTTACAATCAAAACCTATTCTAAGTCACTTATCACAATGATACTTGCTTGGATTACAGCAGTTAAAACTATACAGCTCCTAATTGGTCTTCCGTCAAAGAGTTACTTTCCAAACATCAATCCTGTTGAATATATAGCAGCTGTTTCTTCAGTTAGGGTTTCCACAAAAAGTTAGGGTTAATTAGGTTTAACCTTAAGACTTGGTCACAAGACTTTATCAACCAGATTAGGGTTGAGCTAGGTTAACCTAAAGTCCACGTGAGATTCTGTTCTGGAAAGAATGAGCCATCTTCCTGAAAAATCTCAGAATTAACCAAACTGCATATCTGTTAGATCAGTACAGGATGTCTTAATATTTGTTATGACATCAAAATTCCTGTTTACTGATTTTGGTAGAAGGCAATACATGTGATCTTTTGCAAAATGCTCAGATACACACTCATACACAGTAGCTACTGTCTGCCATACTTTTTCTGCAAAAAGAACCTAATAATCCAGAATATTATGACATCAGTCATGACATTTATACACCTGGTTTTACCAAAAATACATGCCAATAATTAAACACTTACAAACTCCCCCTTTGGCAAATTTTTGGCTAAAACCCCTAAGCAATCAGAGAATAGAGAGCAGCAGAATGAATATGTCTGCAGAAAAAATAATGTCTACCAAGTAATTAACACAAAATATCTCCCCCTCTTTAGCCACAAATGGGCCAAAGATACATGTACTTAAATGTTATACAGTTATCCAAAATAGGTAATAAGAACAACAAATAAAATCTGAAGACACTTGCATCAACAACATCAGCATCAGGCTTGTCAATTCCACCAAACTTTAAGCACTGTCATCTTCAGAGGAGCTACTTTCTTCAGCATTGAGCTGATCTTCAGCAGCACCCTCTTCCCTTCTGTTTCCTTCAGTCTCCTCCTGTTCCAACTAGAGAGAGAACTTTGATTGAGAGAATGGGATTTGTTGCAGAGTTGTGAGAGGAAGGAGACAAATGAGTGTCTATTCAGCTTCTTAATAATTATGAAAGAAATGGGAAAGCATATGATTAACCCAATCAAAATAGACTTAACAAAAATAACTCCTTCAACCCTTGTTTTAAGCAAAATTAATTGCTACAATTCCTCCTGTTGGCAAATACCCAACTTGCCCCTCAAGTTTTCAAATTGATTTGCATCAAGTGCTTTGGTAAAAATGTCAGCCAGCTGTAGCTCAGTGGCAACATGTTCCAGTTTAATCGTCTTCTCTTCTACAAGGTCTCTGATAAAGTGATGTCTTATGTCAATATGCTTGGTACTGCTATGCTGAATAGGATTCTTGGAAATGTTGATTGTACTCAGATTGTCGCAGTACAATGTCATAACATCTTGTGTGACATTATACTCAGTAAGCATATGTTTCATCCAGATCATTTGAGAACAGCTACTACCAGCTGCAATGTATTCAACTTCAGCAGTAGAGAGGGACACACAGTTCTGTTTCTTGCTGAACCAGGAGACCAGATTATTTCCTAAGAAGAAACATCCTCCAGAGGTGCTTTTTCTATCATCAGCACTTCCAGCCCAATCAGCATCACAATAACCAGTCAGAGTTGGTTCACAACCATGAGAGTACAGCAATCCATAGTTGTAAGTTCCACTTACATACTTCAAAATTCTCTTTACTTGGTTGATATGACTGACTTTAGGATCAGCTTGGTATCTTGCACAAACTCCAACTGCAAAAGCAATGTCAGGTCTGCTGGCTGTTAAGTACATCAAACTTCCTATCATGCTTCTGTACAGACTTTGGTCCACCTTAACCCCACTTGAATCTTTGGATAGCTTTAAATGAGTAGGTGCAGGGGTTCTTTTGTGACTGGCATTCTCCATACCAAACTTCTTGACAATGTTCTTTGCATACTTGCTTTGAGATAGAAAGATAGAGTCCTCCATCTGTGAGACTTGCAGTCCAAGAAAATAAGTCAGTTCTCCCATGAGACTCATTTCGAATTCAGCCTTCATCTGGTCAGCAAAATGTTTAACCATTTGTTCTGACATTCCCCCAAACACTATGTCATCAACATATATTTGAGCTACCATTAACTTCCCTCCTTCATTTTTGACAAAGAGGGTTTTATCCAAGCCTCCTTTTCTGTATCCTTTGTCTGAGAGAAATTTTGTCAACCTGTCATACCATGCTCTAGGAGCTTGTTTCAGGCCATACAGAGCTTTCCTCAATTTGTAGACATGATCAGGGTGGTTTGGATCCACAAAACCTTTAGGTTGTTCCACATAAACTTCTTCATTTAAGTACCCATTTAGGAAGGCACTTTTTACATCCATCTGAAACAGCTTGAACTTCAGGAGACAAGCAATTCCCAATAGGAGTCTGATAGATTCCAGTCTGGCTACAGGGGCAAAGGTCTCATCAAAATCAACCCCTTCAACTTGAGTGTATCCTTGGGCAACAAGTCTTGCCTTATTCCTAGTGACAACTCCTTCAGCATCTGATTTGTTCTTGTATATCCATTTTGTGCCAATGATGTTTGTTCCTTCTGGTCTAGGAACTAACTCCCAAACTTCATGTTGCTTAAATTGGTTCAATTCATCAATCCAGTATTCATCAGTTAAGGCCTCCTTAACATTTCTTGGTTCAATTTTAGACACAAAACAAGAGTTTGAGATGATTTCTCTAGATCTTGTAATGACTCCACTATTTGGATCCCCTATAATGAGTTCTTTAGGATGATCTTTCTGAATTCTGATGGAAGGGATTTTGCTAGCTTCCTTGGATTCAGAGTCTGCTGTAGTGGTGTTAGGAAGGTCATTCTGTTGAGTTGGAGTCTCAAAGAATGTCTCAACATTACAAGGGACGTCTGTTTCTTCATGATAATCATCAACTATGACATTTATTGATTCCATCATGACTTTGGTCCTGGAATTGAATACCCTATAAGCTCTGCTGTTGGAGGAGTATCCTAGAAATATACCTTCATC